GTAGTAGTACGAGTACTAGTACTGGTACTAGTACTAGTACTAGTACAAGTATTGGTACTAGAACTAGTACATGTTCTTTTGGTTTGGTGCGGTGCGACTACATTTGCTGATTTGCTACAAGTTGTGCCAATGACCAAGCGCTGCGTGGAGTGTCAGTGGTTGTGGTCGTGGTTGTAGGGCAGCCGTGGTGGGAGTGGCAGAAGCAATCAAAGACAGTCCGGTGCTCCGAGTCGAAGCTAAAGGAAATGCATGAGGAGGCTGCCGGCATTGTTGGTAGCGCTGCGACGAATATGATCAGTATATGATCAGTACGGGTAGCAGTAGCACTGTTGGACAGGGGCTAAGTTTTTTTAAAACTGGATGACAGGGTAGTTCATAGTAGATCTAGGAAGGGCATTGCACGAACACGGAGACGAACGTGACTGAAGTAAGCATTCCCCCAGGACTCTTGGTGGGCGTGCAGTTGCAACGCTGCCGGAGCTCATGGTGGAGGGTCTAGAGTCTAGATTCGTGCTTGTTCACGCTTTCTCCTTGTTGCCGCAGCACACACATAGAGGAGGCACATATGGGACTGGTGCGCCCTCATAGGCCAAGGAACCACCTTCCTGCGCCGTGACGGATTTGTCGTCTTTACGGGTCCAGACCTAGGCAACAAAGCTTAAGCTGCGAGTCTGACGTGTTTGCTGCAACACCCGGCAAGCACCAAAACCACACAGCGCAACCATGCTGAAGGAGTTTCGTGAGTTCCTTCGTCGAAAGCATCCAGGCATTTGCGAGGAGCCGGGTCTCTTTTTGGAGGGTGCTCCGTGCAGATTCGTAAGCAACGCTAGCTGAACTTGCCTGTTCCGTGAATGTTTCCTTCGAAGTGTTTGCTGGTGAAGCCAAACCAGCAGGAGTTGTGATCACCTCATTATAAAGTCCAACAACTTGGGCCCCAGCAACCCCAAATCCTTCGAAGGAGATCCTGCCATTCGCTGGAGCGAACGTGGCTTTGTACGCGTCTTTCAATGATCATGAAGACATCGAGCACGAGCTCGCGCGAATCTCTGACAAAAGAGTCACCTGCCGTTGTTGTGCAAAGGCCCCCTTGCCAGCGACGGGAAACATGCCGACACTGACACTGCAGTCTGTCGCGTTTGTTTCACTTGCTGTTGTACATCCGGCTATGTTTGGACAGTCATCTCAAAGGCCACTTCTTCTTACCACCTGGGCGCAGTAAACACCCTCCGTTCGTTGCTGTCCTGGTGCAGTGATATGTAGGCTTGACACCTGGCTATTCGTGCAATCTAGTCGAAAATAGGGTCCTGGAGACAGCTACTTACCACTTACACCCTCGGCACCGAGAGTGGTTACTGAAAGCATGTTCCCAAAGAATGCCCAGCAGCTGTAGTACTGCGGGGTTGCTCCCCGCATGCTCTTGGCCACAGGGATGATTGAGGACACGTGTCGCATGCAGATTGAGATGTTGATGGTCGGTGGAGCTAGGTATACAGCCTTCATCTTGATCTGACATGGTGTGGGCCACTGCTGACTGAAGCAAGACGATATCAACAAATCGCCAACACAGTTAGCTGGCTGAGCTTGTCTTCTTGTAGCACGCCGACCAGCATGACGTTGATACTGAGACAGCAAAACTGCTGCTTTCCCCGCCTCATGACCCGCACAATGTGTTTTGTGTCGCGCTGCCAAGGCGCGAAGACAGTGGCTCGGAGGCCAGCGAGCGGAGTAGCAATCTGAGCGAGGTGACATAAGACACTTGAGTCCATAGACGAACCGGTTTGGCTGAACTTTGTTTGAGGGCTGTTTGTGCAAGCGGAAGTTCAAAAGGGTGCCGAGTCCAAGTGCGAAGGATCTGGCTGCTCTCAATTTGTGCTTGGTTTGCGGAGGTGCTCGTCACCTCTAGTCACTAGTGACTAAAGACTGAGACCCGATTCTGTAATGGGAGAGAATGCTCATGATCTTGCCAAACTGAAGGCTGGAAGAACTGGCAGCTTGAACGAATCCGCAACCTCTCATGGGTCGTGCAACAACATTGTACCACGAACCCAAACCTCAAAGCCGAATCGTAATGTGCGGCTACCATCCCCGGGTGGTCACGCTAGACCTTGCCGACCTCAGTCCGAGTCCCCGTTTGGATCCATGGAGGTGGATGTGGCCCACCTAGCTGTCCTTCAACTGCAAAGTCCGGTGTCGGGAGACCCGGTCCCCCAAGTCCTCCACCCTCACACTTCCCAGAGAGGATGTAACTTTACAGTTCCGATGTCAGACAACAACCATGGATCCGGCCGAGGTTGAAGGCCATGCTGCGATCTGATATGCAGGAGGCAAAGACCCACTGTGCCAGAAGCTGAGACAGAAATGCCGGTCGGTGCAGATGTTTTATACCATCTCGCGGTCGCAGCATGTCGTCAGTTTACGGCCTTTCAGAGATGTTCTTTGGTTCTGTGTTCTACATTCTAGATCTGGTAGCCTCGGCAGCATCTCGACTCGCTGACGGCGGTGGTGTTTAGCCG